AGCACGAAACCATTCATTTTAAGAATTAATTTCCTTCTTTTTGTTCTGTAATGTTTCTATTATTAAAGATTTAGATGCTTTGCATTAATTGCAGAGTTTTAAATGACTAACTCTGATATCAAATTAAAATTTTTAAATGGATTAAAACCACTAAAAATCTTTCAAACAAAAAGAGTCATTGTTATCTTTGGACTTTGGTGAAAGAGCCAAGCCGTCATTCCCTACCGACTAACGTTATAGCACCGTCAATATGTCAGATAAAATCCTCCCAATTTTAATGGTAAAATAACACTTCTGGTCTCTCATCTTAAAGTTCTTATACATTTTGATCCTTAGACTTCATATTTATTTAATTTGGTACCTGATTTTAACTTTTCTTATTGCAATTTAGTCCTAAACTTTTGAAAGAATGTCACTTGAGTTTCAAAATTTCTAATTTCATACATTTCATTATTTTTTCAATAATAATAAAAATCATGTAAAATTCAATAAAATCACTTTCAATTCATCTAAAATATTAATAGAACAAGCATTCCCCTACGGGGCTCGTGTGGCCACGCTACTCAGCAGTAAAGTGGAATCCACCCTTTGGTCTTGAGGTCGAATTCTCCCAGTGTAGAACATATACTAACTTAACCATATAATTTCCATTGTCAAAAAATATATATATATATAGAACAAGGGTTAAAAGAGTAAACTAAAATATATAAAATTTATATATTTAAAGTGAAAAATCACACCTTTAATATCCAATTTAAAATCCTTAAAAATAAAGAAAGGATATTTAGTGAGATGCAAATACATAACTCACATTAGAAAAAAAAAAAAAGTAACAAATTATGATAAAAAAAAAAAAGAATCAATAAGAGATATTTGTCTTCTCTTTCTTGTAATGCACTCATAATTATAGAAACATTATCAAAAGTTATTATTAATCCATGATATACATTTATACTATACTTATGAGTCATATTTACATCATTTATAGCTTCATTACTTTGGTTGTAGTATTTTGTAGGATTTCAAATTGGGTATGAAAGACATTTAAGAACAAATAGGTGTAAAAATTTGATTTTACACTTTAATTATATGAGTTATATATATAAAAAAATATTGTGCATTTTAAACAGTACTAAATTATATAATATTGACCAGTGGAAAAGGTTGATCTTTAATATCAATGGTCATTTTTTACAATCTGGTGCAATATGAATTATAAAATAAAGTTTCTTTTATATCTTTTAGTTTACTATTTCAAATTTGATTTTGTTTACATTTGAACAAATTTAATATTTTAATGTAATTTTATTGAAAGTTACATAATTTTTATTTTTTGTAAAAAAAGGACTAAAATGCAAATTTTGAGATTCAAGTGCATCTCTTTCAAAAATTTTGGAAGTAAATTGTAAAAAAAAGTTGAAATTAGGGACTAAATGGAATAAATTTGAAGTTTAAGGCTCAAAGTGCATAAAAAATAAAAGTTGAGCGACAAGCTATGTTATTTTATTTTTTATCATTAAAATTTGGAGAATTTTAACTAATGTGTGGACGGAGTTATGACAAGGGATGATGCTTGGCCCTTTCTCAAAAGTTTAGCGATATTTATGACGTGTTTTAAAGTAGAAGGATGACAATGACTCATTTTATAAAGTTGAGGGATGTTTAGTGACATCAAGCCTTTTTAAATTAATTGTTTTTAAAGTTACTATCATAAAGTTAAAAATACAATAAATATATTATTTTATAATTAATTTATATGAAAAATATAAATATTAACTTTAATTAAATTAATTAATTTATTAAAATGATTTATATGTCAGTATTATTATACTAAATATTAATTTTCATAAATTTTCATATAAATTAATTATAAAATAATATATTTATTGCATTACATTCTTATTCTTACTATACAAATTAAGCAAACCCTTAAATTAATGCTATAAATTCAATCAGACTCTTTCAGATTAACGATCTGTATATATATGAAGGAGCTATAAACGTCTGTTTAAAGTAAGAGGAAGGAATATTGAAATCAAACCTTAAATTGTAGATATTCAAAGATTGCACCATAATTTTAGGAATATTATCTCTAAAATATACTCTTCCCACCTTGATTACGTTAAGTTGTTGAGCACGACCATAATTTTTTTTTCTTTTTTGCCTTCAGCATGAACCATCATTTCAATTATTAATTCCCTTATTTTTTTAGTTGTAAAAATTAATTTAGTTTAACGCTAAAGATTGTATCCATTGATAAGATTTTTCATCTAACAAATTAAATTTATAATTTAATTTTTTAAATATATAAATTAGAAATAACTTTAAAAGAGATCAATTTTAAAAACTAACTAAAAAATAATTGACTGTAATTATAAAAAAAAATAATTTCGTTGATGTTATGAATTTTTTAGCAAAGTATTCAACTATAAAATTTCTTTGACGAAGACATTAACAAACTTCCCCTCTCGGCGTGGATGTAATTTGTTCTTCATTTTTTTTTACAGTTATTTTTTGCACAATATTCTTGATTGTGTGTTAAATCGAGGCAGAAGCAGTAGCCCAATCCAATTGTTGGTTCGCTATTGTACTTTCCGTAATCAAATTTGTTACGCACGGTACTCTTTTTTATTATTGTTTCAAAACTCATTCTGCTAGATTCATAGCCCTCGTCAATTGTTTGTTTTGTAAGTTTATTCACTACTTCACGATTCCGCTTTTCTCCGTAGAGTATCCTCTATTTTATTTTGTATTTTACGTATTTGATTAGTATCACCAGCTTAATTCAATTTTTAATCTATTAATTATTAATTTAATTTAATTTTAATCTAAAAAAATTATTTTCTTTTTAAATTATTTATATAAACTTTAGAGAATATTTCATAATAGTTTATTATGTAAAATTTTGCTAGATTTAACAAAAAGAATAATATTTTAAATTAAAAAAAACTGACATTATAATTCTAATAAAATATGATGACTCAAAAAATATTTTATAGAGAAATATTTTATAAAGATAGATTAGATATAATTTGTAATAAATTTAAGCAACTAACTCAATTTAAACACAAAATCTTAATAAGTTTAAAACAATAAGTTTTAAGAGTAAGTTTATTTTATAAGATAGATTGTATGTGATCTATTTTATAAAATTATTTAAATATTTCTGAAAAAAGTATAAAAATAAAATTAAGCACATTTAAATAATTTTATAAGATAGATTGCTTATAGTCTACTTTGTAACACAATTTTTTGAAAAATATATTTAGTAAAATAATAATAAAAACTATTTTTACAGTGAATATAAATTTAAGAACTAAAAGATCAAAAGAAACATAATTAGAGAATTAAATATTTTCTTATAGAATAAGAAGATTCGTTAAAGATAATGGACATTTCTATTAAAGATAATAGATTAGATGAAATTGAAATAAATGTAAAAGACAATAAACAGGATTGGAAAATTTCAAAAATAATAAATAAAATTGAAAAGA